CGCCAAAGGGACTGAGAAGAACACATTAGTGATATTAGCGAACCAGGACAGTTGCTTCCTTTTTTTTGATTCATCGTGCTTTGTCGCATTATATTAGTTGACAGATTTGGAACAGCATGGCTACAAATGGTGAAAAGCACACAGAGGGATGGCATGACATCAGTGTCATTATTCTCCCACAGTTTCTCAATCTTTCCTCAGTTTATTTACATGAGCTCCAAAGAGCACTAGGAGAGAATCAATAATTAGGAAAATTTGCAGGGGAATGAAGTCCAATTGGATTAAGGAGAGCAACTAATAGCTGAAAACACTTATGCCCATATAGGTTTTACATTTGATCAAATATTTATCCATCAGATAGAACATTTTTACAAACTAGTAATATCTGTCAACATAGAAGACAACAGTGTATGCATCTGAACTTCAGTAGGACCAGCCATGTAAGTAAAACCTGCTTCACAGAATGAAAACTAGCAAAAATTCCCCTTTCAGACAAAATTGAAGTTACAGGCATTTTACCTGCAGAGTAGAAGGAGGCAGAGATAGTAGAAACAGTGAAACAGATCCTTTGTAAAGTACAAGATTACTAATAAACTATTGATTATGCACCTAAAACGCAATGCAATTTCTCTGAAGCAAAGCAACTGGTGATCAGGTGCTCCACCTCATGCGAGGCTCCAGGGCTGAGACAGGGTGAACGCTGCCACTGCATTTTCTGTGCATGGAGCAGTAAGATTTAACATTGTTAAAGCAATTAAAGGTGCCGAAAGGAAAAGTAGATTTTGTCCACTTTTGTTCAACATACTATAAAAAGCAGAACTTAAAAATCTGGATTCCCTTTTCTCCTGCCCAAAGGGTGTTTATTTCCTGACATTTCTAATATCAAAAATTCCATATCTTAATTTACCCAGTTCTGCTGAAAGACTTAATTTTAAAATAAGTCTTCTTGCACATACTACGGAGAAGCAAAGATAGGATGTCCAATGCAAAAACAATTAAAGAAACATTCTCCAGAGCATAACTTTGTTAGACAGAATTGCAAAAGAATGAAGCAAGGAAGAAATTAAGTCAATTTCTTGATAACATTCTCCTTGCTCCCAAAGAGTTTGTAGTGACTTTGTATCTTGACAATTCAGATAGATATGAAAACATGTTCACTATCACAAAACAGCCAACTCTTCCCTGAGGGGTGGAAGAGCAGGAGGAATTAGCTCCATGAAGATAAGGCATATCATTATTAAACAAGATGAGCAGAAAATTGAATGGAGCCATGAAGAAGCACCCTGTGGACTCCAAATACAGAAAATGCAGATGAAAGAAGATTGGCAAAGCCCCAGAGGAAATCAGCAGCCTTCTGGAATACATTTCGAATATACTTCAGTCCTTTCCAATTAGATTCCAAAAAAAAGGCCATTTTTTCCCTTACCATTTTAGAGTCTAGATTCTCAGCATCCTGAGGATGGTAGACAGTCATTAGGGCTTCTGTACTGACAGTTTTGCTGTTATCTCTCTGACCCATCTTTGACGGTCCCACATCAAAATCCTTTGGACTGTCAGAGGCAGAACTAGCTGCAACCTTGAAAAAAAATTTAACAGTGGTAGTTATAAATGCCAAACAATTCTTCAAGAAGCAGCTCTGATACCAGAAATCATTTTGCTTCTAGACCATCATTGTTTATGATATTAAGTTACAGGTACCAGATACAGACTTCCAAAATAAATGAAAAACAGCAATCCTTGCTCTGCACAACTGGGCTTTCAGGAGGCTGCACTTGAAAAAACATGCATCTCTAAAGCCAAAAACTTAATTATGAAAGGGCAAATATTCATAATGAGAACTGTAATAGATAGGGAGGCCTGACCATCCATCACTACCAAAGTCAAAAGAAAAACATTAAATTAAATGGAGCCAAATACTGAACTATACAGAAATGCTGAAAGCATTTAAAAACCAGCATTAGAACCTGGATTGTTTTTCAAAATCTGATGGAAAACAAAGTAAAAGAACCCAAAACAGAATGCATTCACAGCAGCACCATTGTTTAACACATTCTCATTCATATGGGCACAGAGTTATTTATTTTTCCACACCTTGAAACCAGAGGTACATGACTTAGCATGGTATGTCAATATAATGCTGATATAACCCAAAATAAGGTAATCTAAAAGGGAGTGCCGTTGAGCAGCAGATCTTACCACTCAGGTCTCCCAGGGCTGTGCTGTACCCTTATCAGCTGAGCATTTCTGCTGATATCAAACTATCTTGCTTTTATTACTCACATTTTTGCCTTTTAACCCTGAAGAAACAAAATCTCAAGGTAGAGATTTTGCTGATACACTGATTATTTTCTACCAAAAAGCATTTATTTGTAAGTTTCTCCACTCTTACAACTGTCACTTTAGAGGCTACTCCAGCTGAATATATTTAATTTTTTTTCAGGGGAAAATCTTCAGGATAGAGATACAGCAACTATAATAAGTAATGCTTGTTTTGTCACCACTTTCTTATTTCTCATGCATGAAACTACACATACAGATTTCTCCACATCTAGAAACAACCTTACAATCATTCCGTCAACTTCCTGAGTCAAATAGTCAGCTGGCAAAAACCAACACAGCTACACATAATTTTACATCAGACTGGTGGACTTTTGTTTTAATGTGAACGGTAAAGGCAAGAGATGGGAACATGATTTTCTTTAAAGAGAAAAAAAAAAAGATTTAGGCAACTTGAAATCTAGAGGCACAGCAGACATTGTTACCCATCTTGAGTCTAGATTCAGGCTTAAATATAGATGTATTGCATTACACAGCAAAACACTGACAACAATACGTAAACTTTTAGTAAGACTACACAACCTTATTCCTAGGAACAGGTACTAAGAAATTAGAATTGGCAGAGCAGTTACCTCTGTACTTATGATGTGTTGTGGACTTGAAGTTGAATTGCATTTCATTCTGAGCTTTGCCACAAGCTGTTCGAAATCTCTAACCTCCGTGAAACGAAAAGCTGTTTTTCCTTTGGTACTAATGCTGACTCCTCTGTTGGCTGGATCTGCCTTATCCACCCCTGTGACCTATGGAAGCAACGATACATAAATTAGGCAAGAAATTTTACCAGCTTGCTTCTAAAAGAGAAAACCTCTTAAAAATACATGTGTACATGAAACAGCAGTATGAAACACCACACAACCAGAATTAATAACGCAAGTAACAAACTCACTACTTTTAAAGCCCAGTGGTCTGGAGCTATTTTAGCACAAGGTAGTAAGTATTATGCAATAAACTTTTGACACAGTACCAAAAATCTTCGAAAAGGTTTTCCCAGCTGTGAGTGCTAAGCTTATTCGAAAATCTTGCCTCCTTCTACCTGCTGAAGCTGTTACTTTTTTTCCTTACCATCTGAAAGCAGACAAAACATGGCTTTTGCAAGTAATCTAATGAAACAAGTTTCACAAGAATGCATTTCCGCTGAGAATACAAAGACAGCTGTCATAACACATGACAGCTGGAGCTGATTTTAATTGTCGTGATGGAACAGTTACAGATTACAGCAGTTAATACACTTTAATAATGCAAGTACAAGTGAGACAACCATGAACAGCTAAACTGACTGCCATTGCTGATGCTTTTACATTGTTATAGGTAAAGAATGAAAGACCACTGAAATAAAGTAACTCTGCAGTACTGTAGAACAAATAGTGAGGGCCTGACAATCCACAAGAATAAATTTAGAATCAGCTCTTTAACATAGCCTCTTCTTGTTTTTCACAGGTTATGGAAGTCTCTATTGTTTGCAGGACTATTTACAGACAATCAAATAAATTGCTTTATCTGGGCAGGGAACACAACGTGTATTGCTGAAATTAGCTCAGCTCACCCCCCTTATGTCAGGCAGTATGTACAGAGAGAGTATGTAGAGCAACTACAGAACCTGGCTAATTTTTAGGCTATTGTAAAATATGTCTGGTGCTGATGAAAAGCTTTTAACGCTAGAAGACTGAAATGTGGCAATGTCCCAGATCACAGGAAGTCAAGAGAGGAATGGAGAAGGTTTTTTTTTTTCCCAGAAGTTATTCCACAGTCTAGCTATAGTATTCTACAGAAATATGAATGCTGTGACCTTTACAATATGGTCCTTATTCAGTCTGTTGAGACTATCAGCTGTAATGGCATTGATACTTGTTCACTGATTGTGAACAATCCACTGTTCAATGGATTCCCCTATAGACTTTTGAACAGACAGCACTGCTCAACCGCTGCAAAAAGAATTGTACTACTGAGCTAAGAAAGAAAAACGGCAGAGCAATTACTAATCTTCGAGATACTCTACCCTCTTCAATTCTTTACTTTTTATCCTGAGAATCCCTCATTAACTCAACTTCAAGAATTAAGAATAAGCTTTTTAATTTAAAAAAAAGAAGTATTAAAAGATTTGGATTCTGTACCTAGCTATAGAAA